TGGACCGAACGAGAATTTAAAGAGCATTTGCGATTATCAAGACGTACAGTATTACATTTAATTGGTAAGAAATATACATATAATAAAAGAAAAAATTATTTAATGGCTTGAGTTTGACTTTAATACAGTGAATATTTGTATCAGTATTAATTAAATAACAATAATCTAATAAATGCAATTAATAATATATTTCAGATGAATTTGAACAGTCCGAATATATTCCAAAACACACATTTGGAATAAGGCCAATTTCAGCAAAAGTGAGCTTCCTTCTTTTCTTGTGGTTTATGTCAAACACTGAGCCTTTGCGTACAATATCTGACAGATTCGATATTTCCATCTCTTCTGTATTTCGAGTTACACGTCGAGTGGAAAATTGGCTACTAATAAAATTAGATGATAAAATTAGGTGGCCGCAGGAAAATTATATTGCTGTATGTGAAGGTTTTCGAGTTAAAAGAGGTATTAACAATATAATTGGGGCAATCGATGGAACAGCAATAAGAATACAAAAACTATTCAAAAAGAAGACAAAGGATTATTGTAACAGGAAAAAATATTTCTCTATTACTTTGCAAGGGGTCGTTGATGCAAATATGAGATTCACAAACATTTACTGCGGTGAGCCTGGTTCTTTACATGATGCCCGTGTTTTAAGAAGATCGCCTTTATATCAAACAGCAGAGCAAAATAAAGAAATACTTTTTCCGGGCAATACATTTATAATTGGCGATTCAGCGTATGCCTCATTATTGTGGCTTGTTCCTCCGTTTAAAGATAATGGTCACTTAACTCTACAGCAAACAGAGTTTAACTTTTTGCATTCTTCGACACGTATGCCAATTGAACGTGCATTTGGTTACTTGAAAGGACGTTTTCGCCGGATAAAATTTTTCAATGAATACCGACAAATGCCTTTTATCACAAATACAGTTGTTTGTGCATGCATCCTACATAATTATTGCATTGATGAAAATGATGCGTATGATTTTCCACAATACAATGATAATGATGCAATAAATGTTAATAATAATGAACAGAATGAAAATATTAACTGGGGAATACAAATAGATCGTAGAATGCAACTTTTTCGAGAGTTGTTTCCCAATTGATAATGAAATGTTCAGAACGAAAATTATGTATCGTCGAATAAATAGAATTGTGAAATAAACAAAAATACTCTGAAAATGGTTTGCAGTATACTGCTTTATTGCATAATGCACTTTTTCCCAATGGATAACAAAATGTTAATCGTGAATTATTACTATCGAATAAATTGAATTGTAAATAAATGAACAGTATTCTTAACTATTATATCACAATGTAATTTGTACTTTTACAGTAATATAGCTAAGTTAAGTATTTTTTTAGGATAACAGTTTTCTTAAATTAAAACGCTTTTTAAACGTTTTTCGAATGCATATTAGAAGAAAATCTTTTAACCATTCTTTCTTCATAAGCTTAATAACTTACAATAAAAAATAATGAGGATATTCTTTGATTTTTTCTCTTCTTCAAATGAACAAAACAATTTAAACACATAACGCATAGATATAAGTTTCAAATTTAAATTCAAATTAGTAAAATAATTTCTTAATGCCAAAAATGGAACTTATCTTTGTTTGAACGTTTTTAAAAACTATCTTAAAAAATGTTTGTAAAAACTAGGAATTGATTTTAAAAACCAAAAAATTAGGAAACAATCATTTTAAAAATGTTTCTAAAAACATTGTTTTCTGATTGATATATGGATACTTTTATATCAATTAGATGAATCGGAATAGTATTTCGGAGACGTATTACCCGTGTCTTTTTTAAGAAATGCACGGAAAAGTTTACACTTTTTCCTTTCAAGACTTAATATTTCAGCATGTCTCTTCTCCTTATCCTTCATTTTGTTACTTGCAATAGTTTTCTTCTGTTGGAGTTCTTTCTCTTTCAGTTCAATTTGTTTCTGTTTTAATTGTAGTATTTCTTCCTTTTTTCTCATCATGTTGTCGTATTGTTTCTCTTTAATAGCCTCTCTTTTGATTTTATCTTGCAAAAGATCGGAAGAGCACACGT